ATAACTAAATGGCCTTTATTCGAAGTTTCTCAAGAACCATTCGAGCCACAGAATTCGTTTTGGCATCGTTGGATAGAGAATTGAAAAGTCGATTCGTCGTGAGTGAGGAAATTCGAGTAGTTTTGACTGAAATATTTTCATTCTAAACTAAGGCGAAGCCATTCAGGGCGGACCTATCGGACTTCACCAAAAGGTGAAAATTGAATACAATTCAATTCTTCAAAAAAGTGTTACCTTTAACAGCAACTGACTCAACTTCAGTCAAGTACTGGGCGCTTACCTGGAAATCACTAAGAAACAATATTCACAATATGCCGTCTACCCTGCGGGGTACCGCCGCATGGAACCAAAACAAAACTCGCAATCTCAAAACGCGGGTTCCTTGCCCTGCCACTCGAACTCGGACAACAAACTCGCCTTCAGCACATCGAATGCGGACTTTTCTTCTCGCTGGACTGGCGACACCATTCCCCAAGTAACCAGCTGCTGGTACCGCGGTACCCACAAACCAGTGGCGACTCGAAAGGGGATGCAACTAAGTTCACTTGGGGAGTAGAATGTTGAGCGTGCAGGCAGCCATGCTTTTCTTGCGGAAGCATTTTCTTGAGTAGTGATTTTTTAGCTTAAGGGGACTGTGCACCCAGAGTCTCATAGTGGCGAGTTTCCAAGCACATAATTGGGGGAGTTTTTTTGTTTCAATTGAATCGGATCGAACTTAACGTAGGCGATTTCAAATTCATCGCTTCTCTATTGGCGAAGTTGAGGACCGTCTCTCTCTTTTTGCGCTGTTGTCTCCTTTGAACAGATATGTTTCGTATTCTATGCAGAAATACTTGTTCTAGGTTCTAGACGTTCTAGATAAGATCCCAACTACATGCAGGTATTTTACTTAATTTAAGGCTGCATTGGCTGCTGCCCTCTAGCGAGCGCTAGAGGGCAAACTACTAGTTCTGTAGCTTAAGTATAATGATGAAAGCGCATATCAGACTTTGGTAGTCCAGCGTAGAGGGCGCTAGCAGTGTAACAAGTTCTCTTGAGCTTTTGCGAAAATATTCCGCAAGGTATGATTCGTAATTAGTATATCTATGATTAGTATCTGGCTAACCTTGTCGGAAATGTGCCAGGGTACCGTTAGAGCACCACTTGGTACAAAATGTCAATTTTTACGTAAACCACACATGAAAACTGGCTGAACGCGTCAGAGAAACGTGCTTGAAACGCATCTAGGGATTCTAGTAAGGAGTTTGTGGCGACAAGTGGAAAATTAAAACCATCATCAAAAATAATAAAATTTAGTAGTCGCTTCCTTTGTCGGTAGTATTACAAAAGTAATTTTATCATCAAACATAGGAATGCCACAATATTTCATAAACCCGATACAGGACGATCAAACTATTGGCATCGATTGGCCGCCCTGCATGTTTACATCACAGCCAATCAGTAATTTCTTAATATCTATAGGGCAAGTGATTGATTATGTGGAATGACTGAAAGCCAATCACCCTGTAAAATGGAAAACGCATCCTTAATCTAGGCAGGTATTTCTAAACTAAAGCACCTGGTTTGTCCGGCAAGGGGGCAGACAAATGTAGCTGAGCAAGAACACCACGTCGATACAGAATCAAGCAACAGTTCAGCAATTGGCAGGCAATCATTTAAGGGCGCCGATATCGTCCCATTCGGCCAGCATGGTCAAATTGACGTTCTCAAAGCGCCACTTTTGCGTCTTGGAACCATCATCGCAACTACTGACAAACAACCGGAGCGATCCAGGATCGCAATCCAGACATCTGGGATTGCCGCCATGCAAAAAGTGCTGACTTTCCACATCGTAGCGCCAGTATTGGTTGCCCTGCTGGCCGTGGCAGGGATAGAGAGTCACATCGGCCTTATCATTCGGGTCCGACACATCAAAGCACAAAGTCTTGCCCTTGACTCTGATGTCCTTGTGCCACGTCAGCGTGAAATTCTGCTCGCCCTTAGCCGCGGTTCCCTTCACGCACTTGGCAATGCTGATCTGTTGGTCCCGGGATTTGAAGCCCGAGTCCACGCAAAGCTCTGGGGCGGCAATGTTGCGGATCTCGCCCTGCCCGAAGTCCGCTGGTTCAATCGGCGGGTACTTCAAGGGCAGGTCGAAGGCAATATTCTCCATGAACCACTTGAATGGCTTGCACTTGAGCCGCTCCCTCAATGCCTTTTGCTTGGTCAGGTCGCCTGGGTCGATCATTCGGTAATGAGGTCTTCTCAGGTACAGATAATCCGCGTACTCGTCCATCCACACTTCGGCCACTCTGCGGTAATTTCGGCCGACAAAGTCGCCTTTTCCCGGATTGGGAAACGGGGCGTATTTGCGATAGATGTGGCCCACTCTTGAGCAGGGGGCGTCGTACATTTCGCCTCCACACTGCCAGATTTTGAAGCTCAGCTCGTACTGTTCGCCGCCCCAGATCTCCAGGCCTTCATCATAGCCTTCCAGTTCCCAGAAGAATTTGCTACTGATGGCAAAGAGACCGCCGGCCATTACCGGGCTCTTGAAAGGTTCGGCTGGGTGTTTGAGGTCTTCGGGCAGAAGCGGTAGACGTTTGTAGAAAAACTCCCAGTCGAATGCCCCTCTCGCGCCTTCATCTTGAGCGCGATACTCGAACGTTTCGTATTGGACCACGTCGATGAAAGGGCAGACGCAGATTTTGTAATCTTGTGCGATCGGTTCTAGTAGCGGGGGCAGCCAGTTTACGTTGCACTCAGTGTGGGAATCCAGAAAAATTAGGACTTCTCCAGTGGCGATTTTCGCCCCCGCCAGTCTGGCCCTGATCAAGCCGCTCCGTTCGGGCAGGTGGATGGAAAACACTTTGCTTAGATTGGCCGCCAGATAGTCGTCCAGCGGCTTCTTGCTGAAGTCTTTTGAGCTGAAGTCGTCCACCAAAATCACCTCTTTGAGCAGCTCGGGCGGCGAGCGATTTATCACACTGGTGGCTGTTCTCAGCAGAGTCGTCCAGTGCTCGTTGTGGAACGGAATTATCACACTCACTGAGGGTAGGTTTTTCAAGTACTTCTTCGCCTTGCATTTCTGGTGCCTGAGATCGGGCACTGACCGGTCCAGAGCGATTTTGTCGCTCAGCGCTGCGTTGAAGCCGTTCACACGAAAGAGGGTTTCATAGTTCGCAGTTTCCACTCCTTCCAAGTAGGCAGGAACGCCCTGTTCTCCACGTCCCTTTCGTTTGGCATCCGCCTCTATCAGCTGATAGTCATGCCAGTCGATTTTTTCGTTGTTGGAATGGGGCTCGAAAGGGGCGCTTCGCTTACGTTCGGCCACCAGTTTAGGTATTTTACCGCCACCGTCCATAGTCCGGTACACCAGCACTGTGACCGCCATCGTTACTGCCGAGATAACGCAAAATTTCAGCAGACTTTTGAAATTTCGCCTCATTTTCACGCTAATTCGCCGGACTATCTACACGCCAACAAGCACTTCGAATCTAATCATTGGCTGGTACTGTTATCTAGGCATTTTCTAGCTGATTTAATTACGGCTAGTTACCTTGAATTCGCTACTTCCACTCAAAGATATGTGGAAAAGTGATTAATGTAAATGAACACAACAAATTTGAAAAACTACTATGTGATAACAGCTGGCTAATGTCAGAGGAATGTCTATTTACCAATGACATAATTGGGCATACAATAACCACAGTTCACAGATAACTTCTGTGATCGGTGACAGACAGAACATAGTGTTTGGGTCACCGTAACCTTACATTGCCACCTAACCTATCCTATTGTTGAAGTTGAAAAATAAACAAGAAAATGGATATTTCTGATTTAAAACTGGACCTTAGCAAATGCAAACGGGATCTGCTGACCGGGATTCGGGAATGCTCCGAGCGAGGATTGTTGTACGCCGTCAAATGGCTGGCAGAAATCAACTTTGCTCTGGATCACATAGAGCCGGCCCCAGAAGATGTTCCCGCATCGAGCGGGGACTTGGGAAGCGAATTCTCCACCTATTTAATGGCCAAGTCCTATCTGAGCCTCAAAGAATACGATCGGTGTGCCTATTTCTTAAAAAACTGCCTAACAGCTAAGGCTAGGTTCCTGCACTATTACGCCCGTTATATGGCCATTGAAAAGAAGGATATGACCGAGATGAACTGTCCTCCAGATCCGAGACAAACCAGCGCCCTGAAAGCGCTGTGCACTGAATTGAAGAACGAGTTTTACGAAAACAAACTGGATGGATACTGCTCCTATGTGTATGGGATCGTGCTGAAGAAGATGGATTTGCATTATCTGGCGGCGAATGTTTTTGTCCGAGCCGTTCAAGAGGAGCCGTTGCTCTGGAGCGCCTGGTATGAGTTGGGGAAGTTGCCCTCTGATAAAAGCCAAGACATCAACACCCAGCTGCCTGACCACTGGATGAAGTACTTCTACGCGGCTCACACATATTTGGAGCAGCTGAAGAACGATGAAGCCGTGGAGATTTATCAGAAATTGCAACAGTTGGGGTTCCAGAATAGCACCTATATTCTATCGCAAATCGCGCTGGGCTCGCACAATAACAGAAGTAAGTAAAACCGATTTATCCTAGTTGGAACCACTGCTGGGCGCCGCCGCGAGCAACGCTGCTGATCACATACTGGTTCTGGTGGGATTTCGCCTGTTCCAGGCTCTCGATATTCTTCACCTGGATATAAAGGGACTTTCCCAAGTACCCAAATTCACGCACGTATGACAGACCGCCGTCATTGATTTTCCTACATTTGTGCAAAATCGGCGCACAAATCGTCACCATAACGTTCCTCACATGTTTGGCTTCATGCACGTTCTGCTTCTGATGGTCCATGTAAAACCCATAGTTGCTGGCTTCCAGACTCTGGTGAATCTTATTGCTGATCAGCATGGCATTGGGGAGCAAATGGGCTTTCACACTGTCCTCCCCAAAGCTGCTGAGTCCCTTAATGGCCCCATAAGTAGTGGCCAATCCCTTGCTGTTGTCTCTTATGGCGCTGAGGTAAATTTCAATCACTCGCCCCTTCATGTTGTTCAACTCGTCTGAGTAGCTGTGGCAAATGGACGCAGCTACAGCTGCAGAAAAGTCCCGCAGCGTCCAATGGTTATCGTCGTAGTATTTGCTGATTTTCTTCGCCAAGCAGCAGGAAAGCACAGTGGGAAGCACCAAGTGAATATGGGGCTTCAAGTCCACGTGCGCATTGCTGAGCAGGCTTTTGATGGCGCGCACTGCATAGATCAGCAATGTGAGGTCGGTGAACACCAGGTTGTAGTGCACAGTCTCTTTTAGGAAAGTGCACAAATCGGGCGCAATGAGCGTTATATGGAAATCTGTGGCCAGCGATTTGAGGCGTTCGTTCCGGATTTGTTCGCTATACCCGAATATTCCCTCTGTCAGTTTCCGGAAGTATTGCTGCTCTTCTTTGGAGAGGTGATGGCTTGCCGGCTCCATCTTCAACATTACTATGTCAGCTTTAGGGTGGAATTGGCTGGATTTTATTGTTTTAGCTACGGGGTTTTGCATCTTTTCGGTGTTTTGTGCACTTTGAAAGTTGTCAATCGGACATCAACTTCATTCAACAGCTACTTGCTTTTGCTGGGTTTGGTTCTTCTTCTGGTTAGTTGCGTCGCTCAATCCACTAATGCTTACGAAACGTCGGCCGAAAGGCCCGAAAAACTCCACTCAAAAAAAACCACGCAAATCTAAAACTTCTTCAATTCAAGCATTTTTTGAGAAAACTGCCAACATTTCGTTATCGATGGTTCACTTTCTAAAAAGGCCATTTATTTCT